GTTACTGGAATTTGATGTTAAAATCATGATCACAAGGCTCCTTGTGCTGTCGTTCAAAGGATAACATCTACTACATCCCTCCAACTTGAACTTGTAGGGGACAAGTTTGCTTGGTTAAGAGACGACGAATTCACCCGTCAAACACTTGTAGGCATTAACTCCGTCAGCATCCGGCGGCTTGAGGTCAGTAATTAATCCTCTAAAATATCCAAGCAATGGCGACGTTCACCAACTCGCCGCCACTGGGTTTGCCGCTGCTAAAAGGACAGTGAAGGAGCGGACAAGTTTTCCATCTAATTTTCCATCACCGTCGGCGATTCTGACAAGCTTGATCAACTCCACGTCTCCGTCATCTGCAACGCCGAAGATTTAGGTCCTCCGTATGCAAAGCATTCACCTCCGAAAAACAGTAGGAATAGTTAATATTTTAACAGCAATGATAATTTTCTAAACAGTAAGGGTACGTTAGAGAATATTCAAATAATAAGGATATAATTAGTTAATTTCGCAAACAGTAGAAATAGTTTAAAAGATTTACCCTTATTATTTTTATTATCATTCGAATTCGGCTCAATTAATAAATAAGCCTCTAAATTAAATTCGACTCAAAGTTCAGTTGAAACTAAACCGAGCTAAACTCGAATAATTCATAAATAACTCGGCTGGTGGCCACCCCTAATTCCGTTTGGAGCTTTACGCACCATGTACAGTCTCAAGTCCCAAACAATAGGATGGGCCTCAAACCCACTATACTTTATTCCCCTTTCCTCAGCTGAACAGTTGGGATAAAGCCCATGTGATCAAGCAGCCCGCCTCCTCCCTATCTATGGGAGAGAAAAGCACATGATGAAGGGTCTCCAGCATAAATTGTAAAATAGTTGGATTACCAGGACCAAGACCGGGGGCCCAAATAAACAAGGTTTTATGTCAAAGAGTGAGAGGGGTGAACATGGACCTGTTATTAGCATTGAACCCAGGGAGAAGTTTGCCTCTCCCTGTTATTAGCAAAATTTGCCTCTTTAATGTGTTTTGGCTCATTTAACAACCAGAACGAACCTGTTATTAGCATTGAACCCAGGGCGGAGCCAGGGTTTTATGTTGGGGCTCAAAAGCTAATGAAACATGGATTGGGGGATGGGCTCCACTCGGCCACCCCCTGATTGAACCTTTTACATTCTGAATAGAGTCCACATTGATCCATATATTATTTTAATATCCCAAATTTTACTTCAGGTGGAGTGGTAATCACCTTAAAATTTTATTAATCATTATGGAAAACGGTGTAAAAAGATAGGAAGAACATAGCCTATTTGTCCCAAACCCAAAGAACAAAACAGGGGGACTGACATAACATCTTCAAAAACTATGGGGTGTTTTGTTTAGCAATACGGTTGTTTCTGCTGATGTAACAGTTGGTTTTATTTTCAAAAATAAAACCAACCATATTGTCAAACAGTCCCTAAAGCTCAATTTAGAAAGAATACAAATATAAATACATATGAAATAATATAAAATATAAGGTTTTGCATTTTACATATCCGCATTTATACTCCTTCCAAACGGAGCCTAAGATTTTGAAATGACCTGGAAGCTGAGAGACGTGGTTAAAAGCCCCCTCCTCATACGAAGGCAAAAGTAGTGTTGCCAGTGGAGTGGATTGGAGTTCCTTGAATTGCCATCCTACGCAAACAACTATGCTGAATTGCTGATAGGAGCAGTTCGTGTTTTTTTTTTTTCTTCAGCTCCATGAGTTAAAGTAACTTGGATTGGCCCCAATTAGCACTTTACAGTTTCTCGGGCTAAAGCCTTTGGGCTAAGCCCATTAAAATTTTGACAAAATCCCAATTCGAACCTGCCCAAATTGTAACCCTAAGATTTGATTTAAGAAACAATTACTTATACAGATATACTTATGGAGTTATGGTTCAACTATGATACCGGAAAAATATACAAGCAATCAACCAATATCATAATAGAGGTGATTGATCGGATGGTATTCTGTATTCATCAAAATTCAAGCTATTGTTTTGATTGGTCAAAGTTGTTTGGGTACCATGTCTTTCCGATATCATAGATTTTCCCTATACCTTAATTTCGTATTAAATTTGAAAATAAAACTGTTTTTAAATAAAATTGTTTAGATGTGGACGTCTTTGGTCAGGGGGTAAAGGACTGATGCCGCATCAAGACCAGCATAATAAGATGAATTTCGTCCATAATCTAATCCACGCCTTATCTTTTCGAGCTTTTTGATGAATTATGGTAGAAGTTTCCTCCTTGTTCCAAATTTATGCAACTGCATGTGATAATGTTTCATTCCAATTTTGCCATGAATGTGAGGCCATTGATGATGGGTCCTAAACCTAATCACCTGAAAGTGTGAACACATGACAATTTATGGAGCCCCAGACTGCTTCCATGTCCTATGGGCCCGGAGTTAAGTGTTGGGCTTACATATAATGAGACAACAATCCAACATTCACTATTCAGCCAGTCCCACCAAAAAGATCTATGGAGCCAAAATCAATACAACTGTAAAACTTCAAAGTATTTAATGCGGATGAGTTCCCTTCAAGCTTACTGATATGCAATGGCTGCTTCTAATTTTTAAGACTTCTCAAATTGAAATTTGTTTCTCATGAACTCCTATATATTCACCTCAGTAGCTTCTATATTTAAGCTATTAACTCAAATTCATATCCCTTTGTTTCTTTGGTTAACTCCCATTCTCTCTCCTCATTATGTCATGTCAGTAACTCTCTCTCTCTCCTCTCAATAACTCCATTAAGTTCCTTAACTAAACTCAATAAATACTATAGTTGCAAAAGGTTACAAGCAAAGAAAGTTGAACCTAAGTATTTACATGGGGAGAGTAAACAAATCTACCACCTTCCTATGCTTCAATCACTTGTTATAACAATATGAGTTTAAACTTGAAGTTATGTTTTTTCTTCTTTATGCATGCTTATTACCAAATTTTAAGAAACAATTGATTAAAAATTTAAATATTTCTAAACATTAACCATAGTTATATTGGTTTCCTAATAATTAAGATATACATGCATATCTTAGCTATTCTATCATTTTTCAACATTTTCCAATTGTTTCCTAGCCTGGATTTATTTAACTTTTGGAACATGCCTTGAGTTTTCCTAATGTGTATCCTACATTTTTCACTGTATCCGTGCATATCAAGCATATCCAGATGAAGCTCTTAAAATTGCATTTCTGATACTTGTGTTTCCAATGATCTAAACCTTGAATGGGATTGAAAGGGGTGTAGAGGTTGGACATCAAGCAGGAAGCAGCAGCCAGCAGGAGGTAACATAGATCAGCTATGTGATCTGTCGCGTTACATTTATCCAGATAGAAGACCTTCAAGCGTATTTTGGTAGATACACAAATTACTTTGTCCAACAGCCTTCAACCCTGCAAGACCATATTCCCCTTGATTACTACAGCAGGCATATCAAAACTGGAAAGGATCCTTCCTAGTGGCCTGTGCAATCTGCAGAGAATGCTCATCTCAGCAGGCTGGATATAGATTAATTATGATTAATCAATCATATCAATTACCCATGCCAAGTCTTGGATTTAACTCTCTTGTCTTGACCCTCTTTTCGAGTGATTGGAAGAATTAGTAATAGGGGCACTTCTAAATTTTCTCTTATACCTGGGGAATGTAGATCAAAATCTTTGCAGAAAAGTTCCTCAAATAGGAATTTTTGCCCACTAGGTCCCTCTTGTATTCAACTTATGTGCAGCGACTTCTTTTTATATCCATAAAACTGATTTTGAGAATAGAAGCTATTGAAATTTCTGTGTGCCATTATTTTGTGTTTCAGCATTAATTCCATCCTTTTAGCTAGATATATATCATTAGCTGGGACCTTTACGATGCACTGACTTTGTTAAACAAAATTGAGGCGAAGGGAGTCCTATGACATTTTGGATTGAGCCAAATCAGTTCAAGTACAACTCAAACATTATTTTATTTATTTATTTTTTTGAGTTATGTCTTAGTCAAAATGGCCAATTGTTGTATTAATTTTAAATTAATAAAAATGAATTATAACTTTGAACTTATATTAATTATTATTTTTATTAATATTTTAATTTTAATGACCTTCTATTAAGAAAAATTAAAATCAAATCAAAATTTTATTAATGTACTTGATTAGGAAAATCTATAATGCAGAAAAGGCATGGTATCGAAAAAGTTTTAACCAATCAAAACCCATCCATGAGATTTAATAACACCTGATTGGCTAACCAAATTTATGATTCTAGTTGACTGGTAAGATGTTTTTCAGATATCATATTTTTTTCATATCATAGTCGAACCAATATAAAATTAATATTTTTAATAGGTTTATGAATTTGTATAAATTTTAAATTGAACTTAAGGCTGCGTTTGGAATCGGTGTAAAAATACACTATGACGTTTTACACTGAACCAGTTGCTTTTTTTGAGAATAGTGATGGGTGAAAGTGTAAAATCGATGTAAAACTTTAGGATTGATGAGATTTTACATCGATTATCGACGTAAAACTACATTCCATCTAAATGCACACAAAACTGAACTAAAGCATAGTTTTACATTGATAATAATTACACCCTTTTCCCAAATGCATACAAAGCCAAACTGATGTAAAATTTACATCGCATCCAAATGCAGCCTAGATGAATTTCCACTAGGTGCTTCAGCGTGGTTTAAATTAATGGGAATAAAACGCATGTATTTGGAAGGTGGATAGAGAGAGAGAGAGAGTTTTCAGGTAAAAATGTTATGTAATTGGGAGTGAACAATTTACAAAATATTTTAGGAAAAAGTTTTTAAGTAATGAGAAACGTGAGATAGCATTTTGCTATAAAGATTATGTTAAAAACATCATAAAAAAGAAAAGAAAAAAAGAAAAATAATGAGAAATGATAGAGAGGGGTGCTGACATGGACAACACAGGTATATTCCATGTCAGCTAGGAAAAAATAACAATCGTTCAACGGATAACAGATTGATGCAGATGCACCCTATTTGCTTGGTGAAATGATGCAATTAGAAACATATGGAACTCCATGTTTACATGGTGACAATGGATGGAATTAGCCATAAAAGGAGCAAAACTGTTAGAAAAACAAAAACCCATAAACTTCCATCAATTCAAGAATACCGATCAGGTTTACACAATGTCTGTCACTGGCCCAACCACAACCACACAGTTGAGCTGAGCTAGTCAAGGTCGTATGGGTTTAAAAAGCAGCGTCCATTGTAACACTCGTAACTGCAGTGTTACTTGCAACTAATCTCAGTGCCTAGTGCCTAACAACATCTACGTGCCATTTGTCACTGTTTCAGCATGGACCATATTTCCATTTTCTAGAATCTTGCCATTGACTTGTGCTCTCTGTCTCAGGAGGAATAGAAATGACAAATATAAAGGCTCAGCGAGAGAGAGAGAGAGAGAGAGAGAGAGAGAAAGATGCAACAAAATGATTAGGAATTGATCTGGCATACCCAGTCTGCGGTGTCCCCAGAATTGCCATTCAGGAGTTTGTGGTGTTCGTCTTTGTCTTTGGTACTCAATGGAAGCAACGGGGATGAGGTTCCATTGCTACGGTCAGGGAGTTCTGCATGGAGGTTACAACTTAAAAATCATTACAGTGCCTAAAATCTTCAGCATTGAGCAATGAAGGTAAAAATTGAAGGAATGGCCAAAAAAGGTATCAACTTTGCACCTGGCAACTTCTTATCCACAAAGAATACCACCAAATTTACCGTATACCTGCAGAAGAATGAACAGGTCAATCTTAATAATAACAAAATTTGTAACCTTCCGGAAAAGATAATAGAAAGAGAGCAACTACCATGCAACAACAACATCAACTGTGTAATGCTTGCGGGATGCTATAATAAGGAGGCTCTGAACAACAGCAAATAACCAAGCAAGTTGCTTGATGCACCTAAACTCATATATCAACATAATACAACCAAAATTAGAACATTATACACCAACAACTAAATGGGTGGAACATTTTATATATGGATTGTTTTATTATTACCAATCAAATAGAGAAGGGATATTTAAACAGCACGGTCTTAGTTGTCAGCCCAGATGGGCTCCACAAGGCTGTAGCATGTTTCGTGCCAACAGCTCCGTACCACATGGCAACAAGAAAGCCCCCTTTTTCTGGGCAATTTTTGTCTCGTATTTAAAACTTCATGAGCTGGTTTAAACCAGGGAACGAATACAGTGCATAGGATATAGAGATGACATGAACTGTAGCATGTCAAGGAAGCCAATCCAGGGAGTTCAGAGTTAGATAACCTGGACTATCCAAATCTTCCCTCCACATGATGTGCTTCCATATATATAGATCACACATAGAAAGTCAAGAAAATTTTAAAAGGAGACAGAAAAGGACCTACCTTCGTGTGCCATATTTCTGATATGTGAGCACGAAAACTAGAGTAAAGATCATATGAGATGAAAAAATCAAATCACCACAACCATATATTACACCATGAGGGACTGCATCATAAGTCAGGATAGAACAAATGAATATCAAAATTACTTCTTGAAATATGAGATGAAACCATAAAAATAATTTTTTTTGAGCAATAAGAGAGAAACCAAAGAAACGATAGTACAAGGTTATTTACAGTTAATTAATAACACTTCAAGTACACTGTCTGGATGAGGTAGCCTGGCAAGCTTCGAACCCTGCAAGTGAAAAAGTGAAGTACCAGACTTAAAAAATATCCCCTGGAGAGGGTAGCACTTGGAGAATCAAATAAGCTATGCATAACTAAACTAAAACATTAGCCATAAAGCCCACAATAACATACATAGTATATATTTTTCAATGTTTTACCTCACGACAGTGGTAGTTTGGTCCAGGAAGCTGTGTTGAATAAAATGTAATGATACGGAGAATTTGAGAAGCCTGCAGGAAATAAACATATTGTTACATTGATGTTGGATGATATGACATGAATAAAAAACATTTAGTACTGATACTCTTGACAGGTTTTATTAAGATGTTAGACACTTCGGCAGAGCCACATACACAAATAGGCCAAGGCCCAGGTTTTGGTAGATAATTATCCTATCAGATACTGATAGAGTTTAGCCCAAAATATATTGAGGGTCATGTTTCACTAGCAGTGAAATCAAGGATTTCCACAGGCAAAGAATTCACCTGTGGTTCATGACAAAGGTGACCACTTACAAGAGCAAAATGAACTCAACGAAAATAAGAGAAAAACCTAAAGAGTAAACTTAGATTAGGAGAACCTCCAAATAGCAGAAAACATTGATTGTACATGCAATAATTTGAACTTACAACTAGGAATGCTAGAACCCTTCGCCATATTAGAACTGTATATATCTTCTTACTGTGACAAGCGAAAGGGTGAAAACTCCACTGCAACAAAATAGAACCCATATTAAGAATTTAAAATAATAGAAGGAAAAAACAATGACTCAGAATAGAGTTTAGTTCCTGTATGAGTAACAAAAACTTCATTGAATAATGAAAAAGAAAATAGAGATTAACAAATATGGTCAACAGAATATATATACTAATTTTAGCAAATGTATACCTTGAACTTATGCCCAACTTTTGAAAAATGTTTTCTGTGTCTTCTTTTCATTCTAGCACCCAAAGCTAGTAATTTGCACTATGGCAAGATAGGCTTCTTACAGAGTATAGCATATAGTTGCAAAATAACAGATCATAAATGAACAATATACAATAATTAATGAATATGCACACACAGCCTCTATGTAGAAGAGTTAATTGACAGCATTTCTTTCAGAGTGGCTCATTGGCTTAAAACACTGGACCTGTTCAAGGATTTTTCTGTTGATGATATTTAAGGAATTGGAATGCAATGGTGGTTTCCTCATCCTCAAGGTATATTATTCAGGAGGTTTGGTTCCCATCTATATGTCAAAGATTGAAGCTGAATTTTGATAGTTCTTATGGCAGGCAATCCAGGTCCTTCCAGCATAGGTAGAGTGATAAGGGATGGTGAAGGGTAGATTGTGGCATTATGTTCTGAACCTAATAGGAGAGGGTGATTCTCTGAGAGTTGAAGTGATAGCACTCCTACAAGGGCTGAGATTGGCAAGACAACTACATCTACAACAGATTGAAGTGGGGGGAGATTCGTAACTGCTTACAGTGTGGTTGCAAACAGGTAGTATGGGGACTTGGATTCACAGGCAGGCCATGAGAGAAGGGAGTTGGGTGTAACTGTTAGATGGGTGTGAAGATCAGAAAATGGTTTAGCAGATACTTTACCCAAACAACAGGGGTGAACTCTTTTCAGCTGAACTGTAACAATGAAGAGTATGGGGGGTTAGTTTCCCTATCTTTTGAGGACTGAACCCCTGTACTCATTTTAATTTAATTAATGAAAATTACCATTTCCTATAAAAAAAATCAGACAAAACAGTTGTGAATCCTTTCTATATTAGATCCAATGGGTACCAGACATGTAGGGGTAGGCAGTTACATGTGCCAGGGTGCAAGCAGATTATAACCTAAAAAAGGGTGCAAGCAGATGAATGGTTGGCACCCACATGCAACTCCCTTGTCAGCAGATCTTTCTAATGAAAATTTTTGGAACACTAGGTTTGAGAAAACTGCCTACCATTTACAGTTCACCTGATAGTTCTATAGAAGATAGTCCTACTTTACATTTTTGCAAGTAACTTCAGAGTTTATATTAAGTTGCAGTTATTTTGTTCATTCACACAGTTTCAAATTTTTGCACCTCACCAACGAGGAAGTATTTTGTTGCCTCACAAAAAAGCTCCTCTCTCCTCAAACTTTAGAAGATCATTCCCTCAAACATTCAGAAAATAAAAGATTTAAGGAAATTCCAACAGAAGTTTGATAACCACATGGCTCAAAAGAATTCCAAAAGGAATGGCCGATCATGATTAAAATCTTAATATATTTAAACAACAGATAAATTTTAACAATTTCTGAGTATTTCTGTTCCTTGAGCAATAAATGTTGTCTAGTAACTGCCTCTGTTTTTTCCTATAGAAAGAAAAATTGACTTGAAGTTCAAAGATTGGAGGTTGCTAAAAGCTTGTGAAGGTTTGTAATCTACGAACGTAGCCCGAAACCTGTCTTTATCCTCTAACAACCAACCAGTGATCTGCTTGCCAATCAAATGCAAAAAGGCTAGGTGAAGGCTGAAGATCTACAAGTCTTCATCTTCTAGCAAATAACCACTGATCCACATGTCATATTAAAAAGTAAAGAATTTGACTGGGTGAAAATATACATTACTAGGACATGCAACAAAAAACCTACAAATGAGGTCAAATACAGAGATGAATGACGTTCATGAAATTTGAGATTTCCAATGACCCTGCCATTTCGGTATTCCAATGATTCAAAGTCCATGTGCCATTTAACTTCCAATTAAACTGGCTAAAAAGGGACAAATTTGTGCAGTCAGCAGAAAGAATGATAGAATCATAGAAATTCAATGCTTTTTTTATATAAATGCAATTTCATTTACTGGTATTATCTAAATTTCTAGTATTTAGAATCTCATGAACTTTCAGTATAGCAAATTAAGTCAAATATAACAAATTTGAATGGACGCAACAGCCTCCAAAAAAGCATTATATATAGATGCTCTAAATGTCTTCACATATAGAAGAAGAATTCTAAGAGAGTTACCTGAAAATTAGAGCCTCCATAGAATTCTTTTATGGAGGCTCCAACATTAGATTTTTATGAACCAAAAACAACTGGTGGATTCTAAAAAAAGAAAATAAATGAAACAAAAAAAGAAGAACCTTACCAAGAAGAAGGATAAGAAGATGAAGGAGAAAAAAACTTCACTGATGTAAGCTTTATCTTGCCCAAGCTCCTAAAAGACACAAATGTAAGAAAGCATATTCTCCTACCATTAGTAAATCAACAAAGATCACGACCCAAATCCCACAATGAATAAAAACACACACCGGTAGAAGAAAGAACCCAACATCCTGAAGCATTGGTCCTGGTCGATGTAAGTAATGAACTCCTCGTGCAGCCAACCCATGAATGTACTATGGACAGAAGCAAATATATAAAGTTTGAGTGTCCAAAAAATCCCACCTTAAACATTTAGCAAGGTGTAAGAAATAAAAAACAAGAAAACCAAGTCCAGAGAAAAGGAAAAATAGAAGAGAAAACTGTAACAAACTTTTTGATATAAGAAACCACATCATATATACGGAAGATTTTTTATTTTAATTTGGAACATGCATTTCAAGTTGTTAAATTTACATCAAATGGACAAAAACCAACATAATTCCCCTGTTGAAAAAAGAAAATATTGATGCAATTAAGTATTAGGCGGCAGTAGAGTAAGTACGCTACAACTTTGAGTTGCTCTGTGAGATTTATAATGAGATTGGTAGAAGTGAGGTTAACTATCATAGGAATAACTTCGAATTTAAAGCCATCCCAGGAAAATTTATCCTTGCTTTTTGATTAAACAAATGGAACATATAGTAAAGCCAGCCATCCCAGGAAATGCATCTGAACATTTTCTTCAGATGCATTTAAAGGAGAGTAATTTGATAACAAGGCAAGTGGACAAAAAATGATGCAATATGCACTAACCATCAAAGAAACAATTCTCCATAAAAGGTACCTCTCAATTGAGATTAAAATTTTTCAGACCCCTCCCCCTAAAAACCAAACAAACAAATAAATAAATAAATAAATAAAATGGAGCAGCAAAGCTAGCACTTAAAGGCCCTGAATTCAAACGAAAGCATGTCCCAGAGGAACTGAACTTTAAAACAGAACCTATTAACCTAATGATTTCTGCATCCGAGAGCTTTGACAAAATTTTCTCATTTTATCGAAGAGAAATATGGAGAAAAGCAAAGCAAAGCAACAAACAACGGAACTCATAAAAGGTTACTGTCAGAAAGCAAAGAAAAACCTGAAAAATCAATCCAGCAAGAAGAAGCTTCCACTTCTCTGCAAGAATTTTGATCTCTATCAACAATTCCGCATAAAATCTTCTCCATAGCTTCAAAAGGAAGAACAATAGATATTAGTCAAAAGGCACAGAAGAGGGTAATAGAAATAGAGTGAAACGGATGTTAAAAAAGCAAAAATTAAAAGGAGAAGAAATGAACCTTTGAAGCCTCGGGAGCAATATAAAGCGTCATTTTTGTATCTTGCAATCAGTTCCATATTACTTCACAACCAGAGGATTAAGGTCGACATCATTAAAAACAATATCAGAAGTAACTCATCAACGACTGCACAGAAACCGGTCCTTCAGAAATTGAAAATTAAATCCCCCAATCGCCTCCAAAAGGCAACCTCCTCGTCCTTGTTTCTTCAATCGAAGTCCTCTATTTACAGCAAAATAAAAAAGAAAAGACCACTGAAAATTTTCAAACGAAACAAACCGCGAAGCAGAATCGAGACCAATATTTCTCTAGAAGTCCAATCGCCTAACCAGTTTTCTCCAATCTAAAGCAGAAAAATGTCTCGAAGACAAGTTATAAAGTTCGAATCTAATGATCAGATTCGCGATCGGAGCAAGAAAACGGCTTCAATGGCGGAAGATCGAGAGGCTTCTTTCGTCTATAAATAAAAAGAGAAGATATATCCCCTCGTTCTCTTTTCTGTTTGTCTACACGAACGCAGGTTCAACACGGATCGACAGTTGGAAGAAGAAGAAGAAGAAGAACATTGAAAGAGAAAAGAAGGATCGGCTCTACGCGACCCCCGTAGGAAAAGAGGAGGAAGGGTGTGACGAGAGGGACTCGAAAAATAAGAAATCCAGCAAATATTCTAAAAATAATAAAAATTTAAATGAAAATTAATGTTTTTTCTAATTAAATTCAAAAATGGAAACATAAAATCAAGAAAACGAGGGGGGAAAGGCAAATATTCTTCTCTGTAAGTGAGAGAGGAGGAGTGTAGTGTTACAGATCAGAGCATTTTAGAAGAGGCCATTAACGCTATTCGAATTCTCCTGCAAAACTGGCTCAAGTACATGAAAATTATAAAAGAAAAAGCACACTAAACCCAATGGGGGAAATAATTTGATTTTAATAATTAACGAAGTTGGTTCTGGTCTGACTGACCCCGTGCTTGGGCGGTTAAAAAAGTTAAAAAAATGAAAACCTATATCCCAAAAGTATCCCCATTGTCTCAGGTCAATTACCAAAATGTATAGGGGCCCATCCAGGCCTCGAGACTAACGGATCACTAATCCCTCCTTTCAAATCTATCTGTCCACTTGTCCAGACCCGCCAGAGTTCGGATCTATTCCTCACACCAATCTCACAGCATGTCCTACCCGCATGGTGAACATCTCTCCGCCGTGCGTTGTGAACATCTCTCATGAATGATAATGTAGATATTCCCAATGTTCAATTGTAATTACTTATGGGTAGAAATGTAGGAACAACTGTGGTAACAGATCCGAGTCTATAAAGTCAGTGTGAAGAATTCTCTGAGGGAGTAAATCCCAATTCCCCAACCAAGGCGGTGCTGTTAGGCCTTGAAGTTAAAGCCAAATTTGCTAGTTGGCCAAATAAGTTCATCATCCTTATTCACCGAGGGAATAAAGATGGATCTAATTTTCTTCCTGTATGGTGGGAAGATCAGGTTTTCTATGTTTCAGCTGTCTTCTTTTCACCAGAAAATTTGTCTTGGGACTTGCAGCATGTTCCTATTCTTTTTGCTGATTATATAATGGATCAATTTTGTATTCTGCTTGTTTTTTTGGGTAATACCCACTTTTTGTTCAATTGGGAAATACCCATGTTAATTAGTTCAATTATCAGAATTTCATCTGTTAAATATGAATAATTAGTTCCATGCAGACGTATGTATATGAGATCAGATTGGGGTATTGAATCTATATTTAGTACAATCAAATTCAGATAACGTTAATGGGATGGAATCGAACTGGAATTTGGACAAACAGATGCCATTAGCAGCCCTAGACGCCATGAGGGAAGAGTCAAGACATGGTAGAGGATACTGAGCTGACATGCACAGATGCCCCCAATTGAAGTGAATTTATATGAGATGGACAATCTGAGATTAGTAAGGGGAGACCAAACATAAACAGAAGCTTCTCTAGGCAAGTAGTGCAAGGGTAGTAAAAATGCTGAAATAGGGCAAAAAACATGCATCAGGTCTGTGGCAAAGCTAATAACAAGTTCTCAGGATTAGTAGCTTCTATTCTTGCAGAGATGAGGGAGTAATTTATATAAGATGGACAATCTGTTATGCTTGTTATGTGATGAATATATATATATATATATATAATGTTAAGGGTTCATGGGTGGTTGTTTTAGGCAATGACCAGCTCTCTGTAGCACCCCAAGGAGGTTGAACCAAACAAACCACTCACTCACTTTTAGAAGGAAGTTGTGCTTTGATATGGATGTATGAGATGTGTCTTCCTTTCCTAAATCAAATTTTGATTCTGGGTTGGCATCATCTTCTCCTGGGTCCCTAATAGAAACAAACCTTACCTTGATTGCATGCCACATTGCTAGACTTTCACCCAAAGTGTATTAAATGATAGGTTTCTGCAGTCACATAAGAACGATAGGTTTCTGCAGTCAAAAAGGTGAGCTTCATCAAGGGTTTTATATGGTGTACTAAATGAGTTACAGTGGCTGTGGTTGCATGGTGCAAGTGTTAACATGTCGTAAGTATCTTTGGATCAGTTTTGACTCTCCTAGTATAGCAGTGGTGCTATTTTCTTCAATTGTTACAGTCATGTGACTATGTGACCTGAAAAGGTCCAAGAGTGTCCATTGTTCTGGAGGGCAAGTTGCTTCTGGTGGTGGAATGGGCAGGCATGGGTTTACCTGTGTCCATTGTTCTTCTTGATGGACTAAACTACTAGGAAAGGTCCAAGAGTGTGAAGATGATTGCTGGAGATAAGGAAAAGTTGGGGTATCTCATTGGGAATGCTAAGAAACTTGCTAGTGAAGGGGCTGATTATGAGAAGTGGGAGCAAAAAAATTATATGATTATGTCATGACTTACATCTTCAATTCAGCCTACTCTTAGAATTTTACGTGGGTAGAAATAGCCAAGAAGATTTGGGACCAAGCAAAATCAACATATTCAGAACAAATACATTTTGTTTGGATTTACCACCTCCAAATTGAGTCACGGCACGGCTTGCATGTGGAAGGAGGTGGACACTTGGACTATTACAAGACTATTAACTGGTAGGGTGAGAAGGATGCTCCAGCCTATAAAGAGTTGATTTCCCAAGAAAGAATTTTTTTTGGCTTCTAGCAGATCTGAATTCTATTTATAAACCTATCTGTGTTCAGATTTTGGATGGTCAAGTGCTTCCAGGTCTTGAAGAAGTTTTTGCATTGATTCAGTCCCAGGAAAGTAGGAAGACTGCTATTTATTCCACTGAGGAGGAGCAGGTGGCCTTATTATTTAAAGGTGAAGGCAAGAAGGGTGAAGTGCAAAAGAAGGGTGAAAATGATATGGATCAGCTTTGGTGGCACCATTTTAAGATGCCTAGACACACAAAAGAGTTTTGTTTGAACATGACCGGTAAGCCTAAGAAGTTCCAAGGGAAGCAAAGTAAAAGGCCTAATGCAGCTATTATTGCCTCCTCTGCAACTAAGCAAGAAAGTCAGCAGCAACCAAATCAAAGTATCTCCTCTCTAGTTCAACCTATGGGCTCTATATCTAAAGGTCTTCTAAGTACCACACATGATCAATTTAAACAGTTTGGGCATGTTCTCAAATAGGTTGAACATGGTCTTCTAAGTACCATGCTCTTTATGTCTCAACTTCACTTCTCAATCACAGTGGATCTTTGGAGCAGGGTCCACAAACCACATGACTAGTGAGTCTTCCCTTTTCAGAGATAAAGTTAAAATTGTTGATGGATTCTTTCCTACTATTACCAAGTAGGAAGTTATCTCCCTACCAATGGGCCTTTGCTTATCTGATGTTTACCATGTTCTCAAGATGTCCATCAGTCTTCTCTATATTAGTTGCATTACAAAGTCCTTGAATTGTTTAATAACCTTTTCCCCCAACACTTGTGTGTTTCAGGATTTGGCTTTGGGGAGAATGATTGGTAGAGGACACAAATTTATTGAATCAATCAAGTTAGCACAAGAGTCATTTGCAGCTAGAAGTAAAGCATACCTTCTCTCCCTTACAACCTTCATAGAGTATGAGAGATGGTTTGTACTTTGCAGGCAAGAGAGCAGAATTACAGACTATGAGAATGAATTGGAAGAATGAAAAGCAAAAGGGTCGATCACTGATCTGAAAATTAAGAAAGAATCGAGCCCRGCTGGATTTGGAATTTGTGAGGAGATATAGAAGGGGTGGAGGGTTGGAGAGGCAATTTCCCAATGCGGAATAAGAATCTGAACCAAGCTGTGTTTCCTTTTAGGAGAGGGTGATGGAAAACCTCTTCTTGCTGCTTCTAAATACAAACTGGTGTTTGGTTTAATACATGGTATCTAAACCTCTGCTATGAGTTTTGAACAACTCAGATGCAAAGAAGAAGTTTTGGTGATCACTGATACAACACTAGTTAGACAACACTAGTATACATGGTTTAATACAAACAAATGAAAGACATTGGTTTAATACAACACTAATCACATTAGACAAAAAAAACCAAACACAACATTTCTGCTTTTCCTCCAGGCCCTAGTTAGACAACAAGACCCCCTGACCCCCTGAAACAGTTCCCTATAACTTGCCATGCATCCTACAGACATTTGGCAGGTCCATCTATCTCTCCTATCCGGGCTCCTTTTTCTCCAACAGTAAAGCATGGTTCCTCTGCACCTAGGCCGTCTCCTACAATTCAATCCAGCCAAAGTATGGGGGAACTTGTGTCTCCGAYTTTTTCTGTTTTATCTACATTAGATGCTTGTGAACATTTGCTCATCAGATTTTCTGTCTGCATGGGTATGTTTTCTTCCCCAAAACTTCTCTTTCAAGTTCTTTGCCAAGGAAGCCAAAGATGCCATTATCCCCATCAGCTCAAGCTTTACCCTCCCCCACCCACCTCCTAATGAAGGTAAATTAATTGTTGTAGAGAAGATTATGACTGTGAACTGATGGAGAAAAGTAATACTCCAATTAGTTGAGAAGCATTATTCAATGTTAGGGATGGCTCAGATCCACCCCAAATAAAGCCAAAACTCTATTGTTAAATTATGAACACTTAAATCATTTATTACTACTTCAAACCAAGCCATTTTTGTCTGCCCCTGGCCCTTCTAGCCCCTTTGGGTTCTATATGTTGGATTCAGTATTGTTAACTTCAAATTTTTGCTTCTAATCTATGTTGATCAGCTTTTTCTATTGTCATCAATGGTAATTAGGTGATGGAAGCAGCACAAGCTTCAACTGGAATGTCAGGCAGTTTTAGCGGGGGTCACTTGCAGAATGTCAACCACATTGCTCGTCTTTCTGGTGCTCTGGTTGGTGTAGCTTTGGTGTGGCTCTTCAGCAGGGTTCCTTCTCAACCTCCGGATCAAAAAGCACCACATTTGAATAGAAGAACAGACAAAAAAACTTGATAAATGGGTCATAGCTTTGCCAACCAAGGGAGCATACTAGATTTTATTGTACAAACTCAGTTTGCTATATTTTTTGTTGTTAACGTGTAAGGCTTGAAGGAATTCTGAAGCTGGTGTGTTGAAATTACACCAGGAAGAAATTGAGAAGAAAAACCCTTGTAAATTACAGTGCATATTTGGCATATTTGCATGACATTACTTCTACTGATTTGAAGGATCAATTGATTACAGTACTTGATGTTAGAATAGAAATTTGTGTTATCTTGGAAATCTGACGATGTGCCATTGTCCCATTAATGAATTGCATTTTTTTCTCATTGCAGCACCTTACAGTTGAGTGAAAATGAAGCAAAAGGTCTAGCTCCAATTGCAATTTTTTCTCTTTGCAGAGACTATACGAATTGGGGGCAGAATTGGAAACTTTGGCTGATTCCGATTCCGATTCCTGACTGAACCAAACAGT